AAATAAACTATTTTGTATATACAGATATAAAATGGTCCTTCATTTGTATCCCCTTTTTTGGTTTAGTTTTGTCAGAGATGGGTATTCACTTGCCATTTAAATATTGTAGGTGCGTGAATTCAGCTAAATAATCCAGTATAGTCCAGTAGCCCATAATAGTACTGGGTTTTCGGTAAGACTGGCAATGTCAGAAGTTGTTGACTTGAGCCTTGTACAGCTCAGCATATTAATATGGCTTTACTTCTTATACTTTGTTTTTATACTTTTCTGCTGGATGGTTAAGACCAAAGTAAAGCAGGATGCAAAGTTGTAGCTTTTGGGTCTGATAAGGTCAGTGAAATTGTACTGTATGATTTAACCAGTTCCTTATTTGTACCCATTCTGCTCTGGGTGTCCTTGTACTTGGGTGCCCTGAGCCAGAGAGAACTCACATTTTTGAGGCTCGAGACATCAGTTCCCTCGACCCCCACTGCCAACCCTGACAGCTGCACCTATCCTGTCCGCTGCAGGTGGAGCATGACGCCTCCCATGGTGAATGCTTACTACTCACCCACCAAGAATGAGATTGTGTTTCCGGCCGGGATCCTGCAGGCGCCGTTCTACACCCGCTCCTCGCCCAAGTAGGTGTCTCTGGCAATGTGGCCCAGCTCCTTCTCTCCCCAGCCCTGTGCCCCTAGCCGGCCACTCAGCCAGCCAATCTCACTAAGCCATCTGGGCCTGGTGGCCCAGGTGGCCTGGCATTGAGAGAGGGGTGAAGGAAAGAGCTCCTGCCTCCTTCCCTCCCACTAGGGTCTCCTGGCTCAGAGCCAGGTAGGGACAGGTGGCCCAGGTTGGGGAGTCCAGGGGCCTAGGTGGGGGAAACTTGTTTTAACAGTCAGAGTGGGGAATTTGGGAGAGGCAAGTGTACTATCATAGAAATGAAATCTGCACAGTCCTGGGTATGAATCACAGCTCAGCTATTGGTGACTGTGTGGCACTTGGGCCAAGTAATGGCCATCCTTGGCCTCATTTGCTCTGCCATTATGGCACCCAACTCTGCTGAGACAGCTGAAGGGGAGCCTTGTGAGTGACCCCCTGCTTGCAGCAGCACAGGGCCACATCCCATAGAGCCCTGCAGGACTCCGCTGTGGCCCAGGCCAGGAAGCAAAGGTCACAGGTGGGGCAAGAACCAACAGCCCTCTTGAGGCATCACCCTCACTTTTATGCCCTCACCACACCCAGGGCCTTGAACTTCGGTGGCATCGGTGTTGTCGTGGGCCACGAGCTGACGCATGCTTTTGATGACCAAGGTACGGGTTCCATGTGGTCCCCTTCATCAGCTTCCTAGTCCCCTGCTGAGGTGGTGCCCACCTTGCAGTCCTAGAGTGTGGGCTCCTCAAGCCCTGTCCCAGACCTCACCATTCCACCTTGCCCTGCCATAGCTGCCCAGGCCTCTGAGCCCGATGAGCTGGGGTGAGGTGGCGGTGCAGACTGGGTCCCAGCGCACCTCTCACTGCTCCATGCAGGCCGGGAATATGACAAGGACGGCAACCTCCGGCCCTGGTGGAAGAACTCCTCAGTGGAGGCCTTCAAGCAGCAGACGGAGTGCATGGTGGAGCAGTACAGCAACTATAGCGTGAACGGGGAGCCCGTGAACGGCCGCCACACGCTCGGGGAGAACATTGCTGACAATGGGGGCCTCAAGGCAGCCTATCGGGTATGTGTGCCCCCTGCACTGCCCAGCCAGGTCCCACAGTGGTGGCCCAGTGTAGACACCCCGGCAAGCCACAGAGACTCTGCATGCCTCAGTTTCCACATCTGAGCAGAGTAGGGGGCAGTGGTGGTGAGGTCCTACAAAGACTGCCTGACTAAGCGGAGAAGGGCTGAGCTGGGCGGGCAGTAGGTTCTTACAGTCTTCTCTGCAGGGACACTGATGTGAAGCCAGTTCTGACTTCAAGTCCTCCTGAGCACCTGTTTGCTACTGTGCATCCTTGATACCTGTGTCTTTGGGTCTTCGGGACTGAATGAAATGGACACAGGCCTGGCTCACAGAGGCACACAAAGATGCCCACTGAGGTGGAGCGAGAGGAAACATCTGTCAGAGCAGCACCAAGTTCCCCCTGTGACAGAAAGAGCAGAAATATGTGTTGGGCATGGTGGTGAACACTTGTGATCCCAGCCCCCCAGAGGCTGAAGCAGGGGGATTAACTCAGATTGGAGGCCAGCCTTGGCTATGTAGTGAGTTCAGGGCCAGCCCTGTCTCAAAAAGGGGGTAGCAGGGGCTTAGCTTCATGGCACAGTGCCTGCCTGGCAAGGGTGAGGTCCTGAATTTGATTCCAGGTAACTCCTCTGCAAAAAAAAAGAAAAAGAAAAAGAAAAAGAAATGCTCACAGGTGCTGTGCACTGAGCCTTGCTGCTCCTCCTTTCCTGCAATTTTACGCCTGGAGATTTAAACCTCCGTCTGCAGTTGGAGGAGCTGAACCCAGCATCATTGTGCAGCTGGCTGAAGGTCCATCAGCCA